ATATCTAACTAAAGGTCCACTACAGGGTATTGCACCTTTCTTGGTCGGAACTTAGTGACATGGAATAGTAAGAAGCAGTGTAGAGGCTGAATATAGAGCCATGGCACACAAAACATGTTAACTAGTGTGGTTGAAACATCTCCTAGAGGAGATGGGATACTCGATTGACACTCCTATGAAGCTATATTGTGATAATCAAGCTGCAATTCATATCTCCTCTAATCCAGTGTTTCACGAAAGGACGAAGCATATAGAAGTTGATTGCCACTTTGTACGTGAGAAGGTCCTTAATGGAGTGATAAGTACAACATATGTGAACACAGGAAATCAATGGGCAGATCTGTTTACCAAAGGGGAAGAGTGGACTACATATGTAACAAGCTAGGACTATATGACATATACTCACCAGCTTGAGGGGGAGTGTTAGAGTCAGCTATAGAAGGGTAGTATAGACCTTTTATATTAAGTTATATGTTAAGTGTTTAGCTGATGTGGCTCTCACTTAAGTGAGGGCATAATAGTAATTCATGTTTATTTAGAAAAGTATAAATAAAGACTAGCCAACTAGAGAAGACAGGTTTTTCTCTCTAGTTCGACTGGAACTATTCTTTCTCTCCTCCTTGTTCTTCATCTCCTTCTTCTCCTTCTTTCTCTTTTCCTTCTTTCTCTTCTCCTTCTTATCTGAAACCATACGGACAATGTATCTGAATTTTATCAGGAAGTAAGGACTTACTTTCAGTCCAAGAAGTTTATGCCTTAGTTCAGTCTGAAAAGAGTAGAAGTGTGATGAATTGTGCAAAGGGGGAGTAGGTTGCACTAGCAGTCCGAGGAGGTACAAGTTCAAATGTCGGAGGCTCTTTTAAGAAGGGTGATTCATAGAAGAGAATGAACAACAAAGACAAGCTTTGGTGCACTCACTATCAAAAGTCTAGGCACACTAGAGACACGTGTTGGGACCTCCATGGGAAGCCTAAATGGGCTCAAGAATTGAGTAAGAAACCAGCATCTAATCAAAGTAAGAAGCCAACCCAACAGAATCAGAAGGTACAAAGCCAGATTGGTGACCAAAGGGTTTACACAGGTATATGGAGTAGACTATGCAGAGACCTTTGCTCCAGTAGCCAAGATGAATTCTATCAGAATCCTCCATTCACTAATAGCTAATCTTGACTGAGAACTTCACCAGTTGGACAATAAAAATGCATTCTTGAATGGTAACCTAGAGGAGGAGGTGTACATGACTCAACCTCCAAGTTACTGTGCCAAAGGCAGCAGAAGGTGTGCAGGTTAAAAAAATCATTATATGAGTCAGTGATTTAAAAGGTGCGCCTAGGCTCACAGGCAAGGCGCATTTTGGGGTATGCTCCTTGCCCAGGTCCTAGGCACACCCCTTTCAAAAGGCATACGCCTAGGCATGCGCCTTGCGCCTTAGCCCAAGTGTGCGCCTTTTTAAAATTTTGTGCTTTTTGCTTTTTTTTTTCAGTCTAATGGCTGGGCCGGGTGCTCTACCCCCGGACTCCCGGCCACGCCTCGCAAGGCAAGCCCAAACAACCAAAGCTCTGAGATTCATTGCAATAAAATATCTTCCAAAGGCAATGAAAGTTATAAAATCATTATTTTTTATGTGATAAATAAGAATTCCAGACTCTAACATAGACTTGTTCGGCCTTTCCTCGAGGGGCGTGGTACAAAGGCGACTCATCGAATCAAGAATGCAATATGTTTTACATCACATTAGCTACTTGAAGCAATGCAATAAAGGAGAAAAAGAGATTATGGGTTTTACATGCTTGAAAATGCTTTATATGTTTGCTTTTATTTTTAAATTTTCATATGAATACGCTTTACATGTTATGTTTATGTGTTTTAATTTTAGATAATAGGTTTTTTAAAAATTTATTTTAAATTTTAAGTTTACATTTTTTATTAACATTATGTTTAATATTTTTTGCATTTTTTTAATTTTTTTGGCTTTTTTTGAATTTTCCGACTTTTTTTTTATTTTTTAGTTTCTTTTGTAATATTGCACCTTGCTTAAAAAGGCGTGCACCTTGCCTTGTGCCTTGCGCCTCAGGCACAAATTGGCCCTTGCGCTTTTAAAACACTGATATGGGTTGAAACAATCACCTCGGGCCTGGTTTAGCAAGTTTCACTTAGTTGTACACCAGATGGGGTTCAGACAGTGCCAGTCAAATAATATTTTGTTTGAGAAGAAGGGTGAAGGAAAAATTGTAGCTTTAATTGTGTATGTTGATAACATAGTGGTCACAGGAGACTGGAAGACTGAAATATAGAAGCTGAAGAAATTCTTAGTCACTCAATTCAAGGTGAAAGATCTAGGCTCCTTACGTTATTTCCTTGGGATTAAAGTCGCCCGATCTAAAAAGGGCATCTTTATTTCCCAAAGGAAATATGTACTAGATCTTTTAGAGGATGCAGGCAAGTTAGGGGTGAAGCCAATTGATTCACCCGTTGAACCTAACCATCAGTTGGGAGACAGTCAGGGGCAGGTTTTGAAAGATGTGAAGAAGTTCCAAAGACTTGTAAGGAGACTCTTATATTTGTCTATGACCAGGCCTGATATTGCCTATGCAGTGGGTGTCCTTAGTCAATTCATGCATAATCCTAAGACAACTCAATTTGAAGCTATAGAAAGGATCCTTAGATACCTCAAGAAGTTCCCAGGAGATGGTTTGCTATTCCAGAAACATGGGTATTTGAAGGTTGGAGTGTATATAGATGTTGATTGGGTAAGGGTAGTCGATGGAAGAAAGTCTACTAGTGGGTATTGTACCTGGAGAAGTAAGAAGCAAAGTGTGGTGGCTAGGTCTAGTGCTTAAGCGGAATATAGAGCTATGTCTCATGGAATGTCTGAAATCATGTGGATAAAAAACCTAATAGGTGAACTAGGTTTTGCAGTTAACAAACCCATGTCACTCTATTGTGACAATAAAACTACTGTCAACATTGCTGCTAACCCAGTCCTCCATGATAGAACAAAACATATTGAAGTGGACAAGCATTTTATTAGAGAAAAACTTGTGAGTGAAGAAGTGTGCACTCCATATGTCAGCTCAGAAGAACAACTTGTAGACATCTTCACCAAGGGCCTTCATCGTGTGTGGCATAATGATTTGTGTGACAAGTTGGGCATGATTGACATCTATGTCCCAACTTGAAGGGGAGTGTTGGACTGTTTACTTTACATTTATGTTTCTATTCTACTTAGTTAGGGTCAGTTTGGTCTATTTAAAATAACTTTTTTATCACTGTTCTTGTACTTTAACTACAGCAGCGGCATAAGGGTCTTTTCCCTTTTAATTATGGTCGCCCTATATATAATAATATAAGCTGGTGACGCCAGACATATTTGAACTCTCCAGAAACACTTCCTCTTTTCTTCTCTCTCTCTCTCTCTCTCTCTCTCTCTCTCTCCTCTTCTTCCTCCCTATTTCTCCTTTTTTCTCTGCTAATATGTTACATGGATTGCTCTTGGGTTCAAACACCTCACAGATTGTTTTCCTGGAAGATTGTGCATATTAGTATTTAGTTGCATGATAAGGACCCAACTAGTTAAAGGGGTGAGAAAAGAAAAAATGTTAAAAAATTAAAAGAAATAACTTGGCTTCAGTAAGGAAAGACTCTTGAGTGACTGTGCCTAAAGGAAAACCCAAGCAAGGCAAGGTCTAGTCCCGAAGGACTGCCTTAGTTTTATTAAGCATTATGAAGAGGGCTCCTCCAAATAAAACAAAATGTTTTTCATCTTTATTAGTTTATTTCAATCAGGAATTCTTTTTGTGAACTATCTGATATTTGTTTCGTGATTTGTCAAAAAAAAAAATTGTTTGTTGAATTTATTATTTCATCATCCATTTTGCATTGCGATGCTGTTTTCCTTGTTTTTTGACTCTTTTCTCCCCTTAATCTGGAAAATTAAGTCTGGATCGAATGCATTCACATTTTTCATTGTATTGTTGAAAATTCTGTCAGGTTTATCATATACTCGCAAATATTTATGCATGACAAATTTGGACAGTTCTGCATGGACTCTTCTTAGAATTCAAACACTCAGATTGGAGACTTTAAAGACTAGTCCCGAAAGACTGCCTTAGTTTTATTAAGCATTACGAAGAGGGCTCCTCCAAATAAAACAAAATGTTTTTCATCTTTATTAGTTTATTTCCAATCAGGATTTCTTTTTGTGAATTATCTGATATTTGTTTCGTGATTTGTCAAAAAAAAATTGTTTGTTGAATTTATTATTTCATAATCCATTTTGCATTGTGATGCTCTTTTCCTTGTTTTTTGACTCTTTTTTCCCCTTAATCTGGAATATTAAGTCTGGATCAAATGCATTCACATTTTTCATTGTATTGTTGAAAATTCTGTCAGGTTTATCATATACTTGCAAATATTTTATGCATGACAAATTTGGGCAGTTCTGCATGGACTCTTCTTAGAATTCAAACACTCAGATTGGAGACTTGAATTTTCTTTTGTTTTTTTTCCCATGCATGTTTTGACATCCTTGCAGAAATTACCTGGGTTGCAATAGAATTTTTATAATCACCAGCACTTCTCTGTATGCATATATTTTTAGAACTTATAGAATGCCCCATTCTTTTTTTTTTTTTTTTTTAAATTCAATGACAAGATATCCCATGTCTAATGGTGGACATTTTTATTTATCATCATTATTATTATCATAATACCAGTCAAACAGGAATTAATTAAACCATCCATCCTCTTCTGTGGTGTACTTAGAATTTTCCTTTCTAATGAGAAATTGTCAGTAGATGGGACAATATTTGAGAGAATAGGCTTCCCGCTTCCAGATGAGGTCCTATAAATGAAATTTAAAAAAGGTTATCTCAGTAAATAAATAATTTGGTCTTTTAACGTGTTGTGTTTTGATCTTATTCTTGAGTTCTAGCAGCCGTTTGTATATTTGATGGATACTTTTGTTTAGTATGTGGTCTTACGGTAGGCCTGAATTGCAGGAAGAACGACTAAGTGTTGATGATGCTTTGCAACATCCTTATTTTCAACCTCCTCCCAAAAATTGAGCTCACAGGCATTATCAAATCTATCCTACCTTCGAGCTTTTACAGTTTTCATTCCCTGAGAAGCGGTACCTATTTTTCATTTATTCGCTGTTAGCTTGTAGTAAAGCCAGAGGAAAAGTTTCTTTTTATCATCTTAGACCCTTCAATTCTGTTAAAGCAGTCTTCATACTCCACGGCTAACTGGAACACAAAACACGTAGATGTTGGAAACTTCCCAAAGCACGAATCATTACTGGAATATTTAGCTTTGGCCTTGGAGGGAAGGCAGGACTCTTAATGCCCGCCCTGCTGCATAACTGGCGCACAGAGGATTGACCGGAGTCCACCATTCATTGTATTCCTTGTAGGAGCACATCTGCACATGCAGAGGGTTTGCTAGGAAACCACCATTCAGTGTGCCCCGTGTAGGAATTCTCTAGGTCAGTGAATTGACCCAATTGCAGGTGATCGTACACTCTGAAGAACAGTAATAAATCATCTTCAACGTCTACTCTTATGATTACTCTGCAGAATCCTACTTCAAGACCTAGAAGATCCTTGTGGTGGGAAATTGTGTATCGCCAAACACCTTGATGGATCCCATCTGTTAAATTCTTCCATTCAGTGACACCATCTACCGATCTACGTATAGTTATACTGACGCAGCATTTCTATTATTCCAGCCATGTCTCCAAATATATATCCAGTTCTATTAATTCAAATTGCAACCTTGTAAGCAAATATTACAATGCTTCTTTCTATTATGTTGGTAATTCTATTTATTTATGTTGGTTACGAGTTAACCAAGAAGCCTCTTGCCATGTTAATGTTTGAACTTTGAAGTGTCTTACGTTCAGTCTTTTATTCTGGTTTTGGTGACTGCCAGTGATTTCTGTAGGACCTTGTGAATAAGAACATCTGTTGTTCTCTCTCTTCGTTTTCTCCCCTACTAACATGAAGTCAATTATGAACATGATAATAAAGAATTTGCAGAACTTCGACAATTGTTCCATTTTTTAACAAAAGTGTAGTCCAGTAAGGTCCTGCCGAGAAATTTTAAAAGGAGATATCCACACTCCAAAGCCTTTTATTGGGTATAAGTGAGAAACAAAACCTAACTAAGGGGTTCTAACATCTAAGAGTAGGACGATCCAACGAGTCCATGCTACATATGTAAAGTTCTCTGGAGAGCCAATCTGCTGCTTGAAGAGAGCCGCATCTGAAAGGAGCTTGTGACGATATTTGAATCTCCTTTGATCTAAACCTTTGATGCTCCACGCTCCGTTGCTGTTTGGTTCTCTCCTCAGGCTTCCCAGCTCTCTGTCACATTTATTGATGAGGTACCCAACGACTCTGCACTTAATTTATACCCCTGGAGTCTCTAGCAATACATCCAATAGCACATTATAACCATCCCTTTTTTGAGACGCATCAAAGTTAAATTTGATCGTATCCTCCTCGAAGGGGGGTCGCATTTGACCCATTTATTCATTCGGTTCTTTTTTTTAGGCCAAAACTTCTCCGTTATAATTTTGATTAGTTTCATTAAAATCCACTGTGGCTGCCCTTGTTCACAGTGCTTGCTAGTCCATGTTTCATTCGAAAGCAGAGTTTTAAAAACCGACCCTTCAACCGGCCAGGTCAATGGCTGGTTGAAAACACCGTTCGAAAGATTTTTTTGCAGCTATTCTTCCATATCCTGAATTTTTCCTAATTCTCTATAGGCATTTTGCCTTCAGATCATTTGCTTAATCTCTTCTACCATTAATTGATTCCACCCCTTCCCTGGGAACCGGAGGTTGAATTTGGTCTTCCACCACCATGCTAACTTGTCTCATTAGCGGGCAATTGAAGAAAGTGTGGTTTGCACACTCTCTTCCTCTCCACAAAAAAAAAAAAAAAAAAAAAAGCATTGTCTGTCTATCTACATTAATTCTTCTATCACTAAGCTTTTTTTTTTTTTTTTGTGGGAAGTTTGTTCCCAATTAGGAGACAGATGAAGTTTTTTTCATTGTCATTTTAACATTGTTTATTACTCATTTTCCCTATATGCTGATTTAATTGTTTATTACTCATTTTAACATTGTCATTTTCCCTTCTCTAACTGTTTATTACGCTGTATGCTGATTTAATTGAGAACTTTCCTTTCTCGTCCTCTCCCTAGCTTGGGATGTATAATGCCCTAATTTCTTCAATCATGTTCCCAGTGACCTTATTTTCTAGTTACACTAAGTCTCACTTTTTGTTTGATTGGTCAGTGATGTCACTGAATGATTAAACAAATAATTTAACTGAAAAATATTCAAAATATTAAATGGATAAAAATAAAAATAAATAAAATTCATAAAAATGACTAAACAATTAATACAAATGGTGTGAGTTCCATTCTTTTAGATGAAATAGTTTATTAATTGCAAACTAGATTTAACTTTTTTTTGGAAGTATAACCTAATTTAGCTTTTAAAAATAAATTTATCAAATAAATAATAAATACCAATTAAAGTGGATTACTGCTTACAAATAAGACCTCATTTAATCTCTTAAATCATATTAAAAACAACATAAATTAATAGTGATTTTCAAACAAAGTAGGTTAGATTAGATTGTCAATTAAGACCCATGTTAATTTTTCTAATTTAATTTTTTATAGTTAAATAGTAAATTTCAAATTAAATGATATTGTAGGCTTTGTAGTTGCCCCTTAGTATGGGGTCATTCTCTAGATAAAACATGGTAAGTCTCTTGAATCAAATAAAAAGCCTAACCTAAATGTTTAATATAAATAATTTAAAAAATTGAAATAATTCAGATTAATGGTCCCATACTTAGTACGGGGTAATTAGTAGAATCTCTAACTCGTTGAAATAAAAACCTTGCCAGCAGGGTTGAGGTGGTTAAAGGGAGGGGTCGGCTACCTCCGTTGTTTAGCCTATAAAGCAAGAAAAGAAATAAATAAATAAATAAAAGGACTCTAAATTCTGGCCATCAGGTGACAGGTCAATTGATCCGGCTGTTTGACCACAAATTGAGAATACAGCTACCTTTTGTGTGTATTCTGTACCAAACCTGTGTTGGTACATTTTTTTAAGTTTTATTTATTTATTTTTTTGAAACTGGTTCAGAGGGGTCGGTTTAAGGCCTGGCTACCCTCTGAACCAGTGGCTGACCCGACATAATCTTTAGAGGGGTGTATCGGTAAGCTATCGGCACAATACGTATCAATACTTTGAACCTTATTGTGTACCTTAGTCGTAGATTTTCTTAATTAAAGTTATCATCCTCGGTTGAACATTGTTTTGATAGGTGATAGGAGTGGTCATCAAAAACCAATAAATCAAATCGAATTACAAACCCACCAATATATGTATATTTATAGATATTATATATTTATGTATATTATATATGTTTTTCATATATATTTTATATTATTTATATATTATTTTTTATATAGTACAAAAAAGGTTATACAAGAAGGAGTTACTCACCCCCAAAAATCACAAAAAACAAATGTATGCTAAATCCCAAGGAAGGTTAAATGCATCAAGAACCAGGTTGAGAGAAGCCGGATGAGTCATCCAATCTGCTTCTTTAGTTACTTTGCTATAGACATGCTTGTAACAACAACCACAATCCAGAAGAACGTCCAGCTGCAAGCACTCCTCAATAATTGTCTTCGGATTCCTTGACAGATCCACATTTATAATATATCATCTATCAAGGTAATAAATATCGACACGGATCGGCCTGTGTGTGTCAGTACATTTTTTTTAATTTTATTTATTTATTTTTTGAAACCAGTTCAGAGGGGTCGATTTAAAGCCGCCTTCTGAACTTGTGGCTGATCCGATACAACCCTTGAAGGGGTCCATTGATAAGCCATCGGCACGATACGTATCAATCATATCGATACTTTGAACATTGATCTATATATTATAAATGAATATATATGCATCATATATTATATATAATATTATTTATTATTTATAGTATAATATATTATATTTATTTCTAGTATTTTGTTATATATTTATATATTTATTTATAATATATACTATAAATATCAAAAACTGAAAAACGAGTTTAATTCGATGGAAAGCCAAACTGATCAACCGGTTAACTAGTTGGCTTTGGGTTGGAACTCAGACCTGGTTAAGGCTGCTTCTGAGTTCTGCCTAATTAGAAAAGAAATAAAATCACTGTGATAATGCACGTATGTCTGCCTTCTGCTGATACTTACTTGAATAAATATTTTTTTCCTTGTTTTTTACTAAGGCTGCATTTAGGGTAAATTTGCATTCTAGTTCATTTTTGCCTGTGTTTGGCAATATTACATTTTTACATTGACAAATGACAGACCAATGCATATTAATATTGATAATAAGATGTAAAAATGCATCAATAAAAAAGAAGTAAATTTTTATTCAAGTGGACTTTTGATAAAAAATATAAAAAAAATGCTTTATTGAAATTCATGTTTGCATCCATTAGGGCTAAAAGTCTGTTTGGTAAGAAGGTAAATTTGTCCCTACAAAACTAACCCAACTTTACAATTTATATGAACCATTTTACACTCTATATATTTGCATCCACACTTATTTACATTGTTTCTAAACATAGCCTAAGGCTCGATTTGGAAGGAATACAAATACAAATATGTAGAGTGCAAAACATTACATTTTGTATTACTTTATATGTATTTATACTGTATATATTTATATTTATACTCTTTCCAAACTGAGCCAGTGTTAGCGCAATTCAAGCTTGACCTGCACTGCTAGATACTCTGGATTTGGACTAAATTTAGGCCCAACAGCCTAATCCATTCATCTCAAGTTTGTGAAAAATTAGTCCAAATTAAACCACTTACATTTGACAAATGATAAATGACCATGGATCAGAAATGTCGTTAATAGTAATGTAACCTATGTCGCTAAAATAGTATTAATCAATCATTACAAAATTAATTATAATAAAAAAAAGTGTTTTGGTAATGTTCTTAATTGTCGTCAAAAGTACTATATACGTCACAAAACTTTTGGCAGGAACATACGATGATACGAAAGTTGTGCAAATGTCGCCAAAAATCAAACAAATGTTGCAAAAAAAAGTCACTGCAAATGTTGGTCAGTTGGTGCCCTCGTTATTCTATCTTTGGATGTATTTGGCTGCAATGGTGCAAATAAATTTGTATTGATGCAAAATTATGGCAGTGCAAATGATTTGTATGTAAATTGTAATCTATTTTATTTTGTTTGACTGCAATGAAAATGAAGTGAATTAGGACATGAAGCAGAATTAAGTAAAATCCAAAACAAAATTAAACAAGAACTCATATTTTTTCATTTGCACTTCTATGCATTTTTACTAGTACAAATAAAATTGCACCGCAACCAAATGCATTCAAATATTTTAATTCTAAAGAATTAAAATAGTCATTGTATTCACTCCCAGTGTCAAAAATGTTTCCAGAATGAATATGATGTTGACAACTCCTAAGGACTTTATTCGATAGAGTTTAAGTTGATATTGTGTATCGAATTTAACTTTTATGATCTATACATCAGCTTTATTTAATTAGGGGGGTTGGTCTCTTTTCTTTTGCCAATGAAAGATAGGAAGACAAAATGACCTGTGCCCCAAAAAGCTCACCCCACGGAAGGTCAAAACAACCAAAATGCAAGAAGCTTCAAATGAAACTTCTCTTGCCTTTTCACACCTAAAATCAAAATTTCAGTACATCTTTTAGGCATCATTCCTAAAAAGATTTTCCAAATGACACTTTAGTTATTAAAATTCTAGTTTCAAGTGTGGTATTCATCAAAATTCACGGGGTGCTTTGAATGGTCAAAACTCTTCCTGAATCGTGTCTTTCCGGTATCATTGGTTTTCCCAAGATTTGTACATTTTAGGATTCTTTTTGGTATAGATAAACC